TCCCTCACAGTGTGAGATTATTAAATGCAGTGTGTGGTCATTTTTGGAATCATTTTATATATCTTCTCTTTTCTGATGTAGACATCCAAGATGAATTGACAATGAAGCCTTGGCATCCCATTTAGTCTAGAAATATATTCACTATCAAGTCATACGTTATGTGGAGATCTTGAACACTGTTCAGCTTATAATCACAATCCCAGTCTATAATTTCCTCAAAAGAAACAGTTAATGGAATACCAATAACCTTTCAATGACAAAATTATGATTCTAAGAAGTTAACAGATAAAAAGATGAGAGGGTGATTGAAATTTACTGCATTCTACAGGTTTAAGTTTACTTTTTATTTTACTTAATTTTATATTTATTCTTGTTTTGTTTTTCAAAATATTGCAATCAAAATTTGGATGCATCCTCAAAATTGCAAAATACAGTGCATTATGCAAAATAAATGTTTTTTATCAAAAGAATATATATATATATATATATATATATATATACACACGAATATATATCAAGACATCAGGAATATATTTAGGAATTTCCCACACAGATTTGATGCATCGATAATTTCTTTTTCTTTTTTCGTTAATTAGAGGTTACCATTTTCTATTAAATGTAATTTTTTCTGTGCCATCACCCTCTTCATTTGGATTTCATATATTTGTTACAGACAACAAAAAGCGTTCAGGAAACACCCTAAAATAATACATCAGTTCCAGCTATGGACAAGTAGTGGGTAACTTCTGTCATTATTTCGTACATATTTGGCTTTTACTAACAGTCGATATCCTCGGACCAATGCTGTTTCTGAGCTTTATCAATGACCCTCCCAATGTCATCAGTTCTCAACTAGGTATTTATGTAGATGACATAACTATTTACTTCTTAGCAGAAGTCTGACAGATCCAAAAAAGTAAAACTGGCAACTGCTCCCAAAAATGACCTCTAATCAACTGGTCAACTGGGACAAGGAATGGCTTATAAATTTTAACACCTCCAAAACAAAACTGCTTTCATTTAATCACCACAGAGAACCATTTCTGCCTGTAATCAGTATGTACTAACTTCCAGGAGAGCAACACTTTGCCTTCTCAGACTCATGCTCCCCACTGAGATGAAGTGGAGTGATTATATTGAATCAATTGCTAGGTCTAGTGCTAGGAAAGTTGGTTCATCATGTCATGCCAGGAAATTCTTTTCAGAATCCATTTTGTACATTTATAAATTTACCATTTGTCTGTGCATTGAATATTGCTTCCATATCTGATCTGGTGTTACGGCTATATATCTCAAGATTCTTGATAAAATTCAAAGAAGAGTCTGTAATGTAATCGATCATGACCTAGCATCTCGATTTCAGTCCCATTCTTGCCGATGTGACATGGCTCCTCTCTGTCTTTTCTACAAATCTTTTCATGGCAACTGTTCTGATGAGCTTTTCTCCTTAGTACCTTGACTGCATGAATTTAAATGTACTACTAGATTAGCAACTAGATTTCATTGTTTTACTGATGGCCTAGTTAGATGCAACTGTCAATTCTATTCTAATAGTTCCTTTTCTTGCACTTCTTGCCTATAGAACTTCCCTGCCACTTACAATCTTCAAAGATTGAGATGCAATTAGAGAGTGATGCTGAAACCTTTTTTTTAGCTCAACCAACTTCCCAAAATCTGACCAAATGACCAGATATCAGATTTTTTTAATTGCTACTTGATCAGGCATAAAACTTTTCAAAATTTCCTTATATGCATAGATATTTTGCTAACATTAATTTTAATCCACTCCAAATGAAAGAAAGTGGGGTATGTCTATCTTTATAGTCAGCATTTGAAAATCCCTATCATACATATCCATAAAAAGGACATATCTATCTCAACCATTACAAGTTCTTAGACATTCTATATATGTAAATTACTTAATCAATGAATCATTGTAATTCGAAAGTTGAATATTTTGTTTAGTATTATTTTCAATATTCTTACATATCATAATCTCTTCTTTATGTGATGCATTTAGAGATTTTTGATAAAATACAAAGAAGGATCTGCAATGTTATTGATCCTGACATGGCATCTTGGCTTCAGTTAATTTCCCACTATTGTAATATAGCTGCCCTGTACCTTTTCTATAAACATTTTTGTGCTAATTGTTTCGATAAGTTTTTCTCTTTTGTACCTAGACTTTATGAATTTAAGCATACTACTAGATTAGAAGCAAGGTCTCATCACCTTAACAGTTGAAATGGCAGCTAGATGTAACCCTAAGTTCTATGCTGACAGTTTCTTCTTTCACACTTTTCACTTGTGGAACACTCATCTGGCTTTTTGCTTTCAAGTCTACTTTGACAGTTTAAATGCAATGTCAATTGTTATCTTCTGTCTTCTTAATTCCTATACTTTTATTGTTCTCTCTCCTTAATAATGTATTCTTTTTTTTTTCATATTCTCTAACAATCATTAACCCCTTGCATTTTTGTGGCTTTATTGATTTGCTTGGAGTGAAATGATTAAAAAAATATATCAACAAGTTCTTGAATTTTTTTTTAAAGATAACTGTAGAGTCCCTTTTCATGCAATATTTTAGGTGGTTATTTAAACAAAAGGTTTCCTTTTCATGGAAAATGGTACAGTATGCCAGACAGCAAAAACAACTTGAGGATTATTACAGGCAAAAACACATTAAGCAATTATCTTTGATAAAAAAAAACTTTATAATATCAAACAAACCCTTATAAATAATGATTGTCTCAATTCTATTTTTGGCAAACAAATCAAACTCTAGGGAAAATGAAAAGTAACTAACAAATTGGATTACCATAAGCAAATTTAATACGACAACATTAAAAAGTAAACATTATTCTAAAACCACACCCTTAGAATCATATCTCTATGTGAACACGATAAGCCTATCAAACTTGTAATTTACAAATGTTTCGCTATTAACTATATTTAAATTAGAAACATTTCAGTGACATGAACAACCCCATAAGATACAATGATTGGAACAAACCTATAAGATCCTGTTGTAAGCTAGGGAAGGTTACTGAATAGAATAATCAATGAAAGTTGGTAATGAATGACAATACTTAGGACAAGAACAACATATATAAGATTTGCCAGTGGCGCATAGAAGAAGTAGTCAACTGCTAGAAGCAAGTCAAATGAATTCCACAATGAATCTCTAACTGCAGACCAACATACAGTATTTACTACTGTATTTATGTCAATGGGGACATACTCATTATTGTCCATAGGTATGCTACAACAGATACAATGTTGAAATTTCTATCATTAAAAATTAGTTTTTAATTTTTTTTAACTTAAATTTTAGTTTTTTAATTTTTTTTTTTACTTTTAATTTCCTTCCTGGTAAGCAGCAACAATCTTAATTGTTCCAACTTAGCAGTTTAAGACATAAGAACCTGTGAGAAAGAAACAAATCAACAAGCTTTATTGCTAAGACATCAATACAAAAACACACATATTGTTTATAACGGGCATTTTTATATCAACCAAAAGAGATGAAATAACTTTTATGTTAACAAATATCATTTTTGTTTGAATTTTCCTTAAGCAATAATCAGTACCAGCAAAAAAGTACCATAATATATTCATATTTACCTATATTAAATAAAATGATGATTAGATTTGCTATTGTTAGGTTTGGTTTGTTTTACAGCATATCAACCTCAGTAGGTTATTTAATCCCGACAATTTTTATTGCTGATAATGTTTTTTTCCAAAAATTTATTGTTGGTAATAATTTTTACAAAGTATTTCTGTTGTTAAAACCTATTTTTACACTTTTATAGTAAGTATTGCTGGTAATGTTTTTTCCCCTTCAAAAATCTGTTGCAGTTGATATTTTGTTCCCCAAAATCTATTGCAGGGAATAGTTTTCCAAAAATGTATTGCTGGTAATATTTTGTTTGTAATAATTTTCCTTTAAAAATGTATTGCTGGCAATAATTCTTCCCTCACAAAAGTATCGCTAGCAATAACGTTTCCCACAAAAATGCATTGCTGGTAATAACTTTTCATTCAAAACTGCATCTCCAATAATAATTTTTCCTACAAAACTATATTGCTGGTAATAACTCTTCAAAAAGTATTGTTGGTTAAAAGTTTTCTCAAAAATGTATTTCTGGCAATAATTTTTCCTTCAAAAATGTATTGTGGGTATTAATACCTACTTCAACACCACCACAGATCCCCGACCCCTATTGGGGGTCAACTATTTTCCCATAGCTGGGACCCTAATAAGTGCTACCACTCTGGGTCAGGGTGAGCCCAGGAACACCAGCAACTAAGAGGTGGTCCCATCCTCCTCAAAACCTCCCGACCAAGTCCCGCCATCGGATGTAGTCCAGCGTCCCAGGTCCTGGATATAGTTTATTGTCTTATCCAGGACGGACGCTCCATTGGGGGGGGGTCTTAACCCTCTGCAGAGGTGTAGTCAGCATATTCTGAAGCCCCAGTCGACATAACCAGCTATTTTTAGGTACAGAATTACATTTAAATTTATCATTCTGTATTTTCATTTACATACTCATTTAAAAATGTCATTGTAAACATGTCTGTATATGTCAATAAAATGCATAAAAATGCCACGATAATAAGATTTGATTAAAAGTAATAATAAAATAATAACAATAATTAAGAGTGTATCAAACTGTTGTGAAAAAAAAAAGCCACAATCAGATAGAGACTTTCTTCTCAATATTATCCAGTAAGCATTGAATCTATTGTGACTTTGAATAAAAATTGCCAAAAAGAAAGTTACACAAAATAGTTTGATAAATTCATTCCCAGGGTGGGGTACTGCAATTGATGTATAAAAACTGATATGTTATTTACTGAAGCAACTGTGTGAGTGAGCAATGAATAAAAAACTACACACCTGTTACATAAGAGAGATTTAGTTGATAAGCAATTGTAATATAAAAATAAACATTCATTTGTATGCTACAGACCATAGAAGATGACCACAGGGATAACTATTGAACTAGAAAGTGATTGACACATGTACATCTGGCAATGTCACAGACAATAAAGAGTTTGGAATGAGTGCAACTGACATAGTAGAAGAGAGGATCCACTTCAATATAAAGAGATGATATCAATGGAGGGAAGCTGAAAAAGAGGGAAAAGCTGAAACAGAGTGAGAGGAAAAGAGAGTAGGGAAAATGGGAAGAAAATGTGAAGGAATGAAAGAGGTGAAAAGGAGAGAAAGGAAAATGAGAAAATATTGGAAAGAAAGGAAAGGTAGGAGTGAGGGTAAAAGAGAACAAAAAAGGAAAGAAGAGAGTGAAAAGTGAGGAAAGAGAAGTTGTTAGAGAGTGCAAAAAGAAAGGAAGAGGAGCAAGGAAAGAGTAGAATAAAGCAAATGGGAGTAGAAAAAGACTGAAAAAAGTAGGAATAAGAGAGAGAGAAAAAGGTTTAAACTATTGGTAAGAATGAGTTATACAAAAGGGAAGAAGAAAAATGAGGAATGTGGCTGTAAACAGAAAAACAAGGTAAGTATTAAAAAAAAACAAAAAAATCTAGAGAAAAATTTAATTCTGTTTAAATTATTGGGATAACGAGTTATTATTTACATTCAGACAAATGCCATCATCTTTTTCATTATCATGTTTCAGCCATCTTCAGGAATCTGTCAATCTGGCTAATTGTCAGGGAATCTTTAATTTAACCCATTATTTAATCTATTGTGGTAGATTGTTCATGTCTATGACGAGGAATATTTTGTCTTGTTCTTTTTTTTAGTACAACTCAGTCATTGAACAAAACATCTCTAGACATGAACAACTGAATGAGAAGAATTTAACCCTTGTAGATTAAAGGGTTCAATTTAAATTCCCTGAAGATTACCTAAGATTGACAGAAAGCTGAAGGGCATAACTGCCAAAATACTATGATAACAACAACAAAGATGAGGACATTAATCTGAATGTAAATAATGATACTGTTAAATAGAATGCTTTATTCAATCTATTTGGTTTCTCTGGATTAATATTGTTTTTTATTGTTTGCTTTCCTTCCTCTTCTTTTATGTCTGTTATGTTCCAGAATGTTGTTAAATCCTACCTAAAGCAGAGCATCCCATCCCACATGTCACATCTAGGGGTTTTGCATCCATGTCTCTGAGATCATCCTCACTCAACTTCTGCGCTGACCTTTTGACTACCTGTTATACTTCATATGTGTCCTCCTTCTCCTAGGCTATGTCCTGCCAAGTTCATTGCTTTCTCCAGCCTGATTCATGCCTCCACATGCTACTAATATGGTTACTTTGTTTGCTTATGGAGACATGTGAGCAGAGGATGTGGACAGAATCTTTTTGCTTTCTTATTCACCACTACATCTTGCAAGTATTTTTAATCTTCGTCACAAAAGTTGATGTGTCTTTCTTTCCCTCTCTACCCATATATGGTCAACAAAAGTGCTTCCTGTATTGCTAAATTTTAGAGGCTACTCAATATCAGTCTTGTAGTCTGTGCATGGAATATTTATACGCACAATTTCTGGGTCAGGTTTTCTTCCAGTCAGGGTTATAATCTCATGAGTGTAACAAAAAAAGCTTTAAACATTTTTGTTCCTTTCCTTGCAAACAATGCCCACAATCAGTTTCCGCTCAAACATTCTACTCTCCGTAACATGTGTAACCTGTCCAACACAGCAGTAAACTGTCTTGCTGTCACCTCATTCTCATTTTTATGTATGTTGACAGACAAAATTTGCATATGCATAAAGGTAATCTTGTGAGAGTGTATCTTACTCTGGGATTTAGCTGTTTTAAATATGTAACCCATGAAGCCACCATTTCTTTCTTTGGACAGTTTACATGTTTAAATCTTTGTTCATGCAGGAGGAAAATTATTTTATTCTAGTGTTGCAAAAAATACATGCAACCCTGGGCCTCTTTGCCTTCTGCGGTAGTTCACTACACTCTCCACTGATCTCATGATCACAGCAAATGCAACCAGGGGGAGGCTTTTTTGCCAGTGCTCCTCCAAGATGTCTGCCAGCTCTGTAGAATGTGAGAGGTTGTCCTTATGCCAGCAGACTCCCTCTGGTGTGGAGCACTGCTTTTTAGTGGCAATGGTTTTAATGCTTTTGTGACTCCTTTTGACTATACCATTTCTAGTAGGTGCATAAGCACATCAGAATTGAAGTTGTATGTCCCTGTCATTGAGGAATTTTCTGAAGTGCTCATACGTGAAAGCTGTATCATTGTCAGTTAAGATTTCAGTCTATGGACCCTGCTCAAAAAAGATTGATATTAATTGGTTAATGACACTGGTGGAATCTTGTTAATGAAGCAGTCACCATATTACAAATTAAAATGGACAACAACCAATAAGGTTTAGGAAGTGTCCACTGTCATAGTGTGTGATATCCATTGTTAACCTGCTCCAGTTGGTTTTCACTCCCAGCTTTCCATTCTGCCAGTGAACTGGTGCCGGATCAATAGATTGGCAAACTACACAATTCTTGATGACTGACTTTGTGACTGGTGTTGATATTGAAGGGTTGACAGACGTGGTAAAATACAGTATCCTCTTCATACCTGGGTGCCCAATTTGGTGATGGATTTTAGCTACTTGACTCTCACTCATCTTCCTTACAGTGGTGCACCCTAGTTGTACAGGTTTGGCTCCTTCCTTGTACAGCTCCAACCACCTCTGGGTCACTCTGGTGAGGTGGTCTGCTTGATTTAGCACTGATTTGACCAGCTTGACACATCTGTTGTCAATGCATACTCGTCAACCAGTGCACAAAGTGTTTCCAGCTGCTGTCTTATCAATGTCTCACTCGCTATCCTTCAGTTTGTTCTCCTGAACCACCACTATCAACAAACTCAGGCCCTTGGGTGGACTGAGCTCACTTTCAGGATATGGCAACAGTCATTTATTGTCTAGCCACAGCTGCAGTTCTTTTTAGTATTTGTCATGGACAGCATTTGGCATGGTGTACTCAAGCATACTGTTTTTCAGTCTTTCAGGTGTTTAACCACTAGCCTATTTCCATGAGACAATCCAAAACTTTTTCTGGTGGTTGAATTGCACACTAAAATCAGGTTCGTTGATGGAAATAGTAGCACAGTGGGGTATATTTGTCTCGGGGAAGCAAACTTCTCCCAATTTAGTGATGCACATTCCCCCAAACTCCCGGATTGCATTGACCCCCAAAAGCAGATCAGAGCCTAGAAATGTTACATCCACAACCGGGACTTCAATGTTCATGGGTTGAGCATGATCAAAATCCAATTTGACTGTTCCATACCCATGGTACTTTAGTGATTTCCCATCGGCTGTCAACACCTTCACCTCCCAGTGTCCTCAAAGGCAGCATACAGATCTGCTCTTTAGTGTCTGCAAGTAGCCAGAGTCTATAAGGGCTATGCACTTCTGTTCTACAAGCACTTCAATGGCTGGTAGTGCGTCATTCTTTACTTGTTCAGGGAGGAGACTGGTGTTGACATCTCTTCCTCTGAAACATTTCCCCTGGCACTCAGACGAGTTGTGATCAACCTTGTTTCAACAAAAGCAATGCACTTCACAGAATGATCTGTGCACCAAGTTATCTGTCCCCCGCCCCAGGCATCCTTGTTTACAGACCTTAGGAAAAGTGGTTGGGACCAGAGCACTTGAAACAGATTATGTCATCCTTGCACATGTGAGAAGAAGGTGTCTCAGAGTGCGCGTTTGTTGAATGGATGCATCGACTGACTTTTCAGGTTCTTGGTTATTGGTCATAATGGCCCTTGCCTGGATTAGAAGTTGCTCTAACATAATAGTCTTGATTCTGGATGATGTTCTATGAAGCTGTCTAACGTCTTGTGGGAGCTCAGACACAAATGAGCATATCATCTATCACTCAGACAAATATCTGCCAACCGGCTGAGTCAAGTGTTGTAGCTCCGCCAAAAATTCATCGACAGTTTCCCCACTATTTACATTATTCAGACTATTGTCCTCATCTTTGTTGCCATATTTATCATAATGTTTCAGCAGTTGTACACACTCCAGCCTTCTTCAGGTGGTTGGAATGTTGAACTGAACCCTTTAATCTGCTCGCTGGGGTAGACTGTTCTAGTTCCACATGCCATGTCTAATGGATGTCAGTTATCAGTTATCTCCTGTTAATTCTCCACTGCCTTAACCAGGTATTGAACTCACAACTCTTTGGGTCCTGTCACTGGATTTAACCAAAGTCTTTATCCACTGTGTCATGTGTTCTTAAGGACAAAACTGTTTTGTCATGAAGTGGTCAAACACATTGAAGGTTTCCATTGCATACACAGTCATGAGGGCTTGTTTCCTCTGTTCTGCATCTGACCTCTGCTCCTTACTTAGTTGCCAGTATATGGCGAGAGCCCTAATTCTCAATCATAGCAGCAGGATGCACTTGATCCTCTTCATGTCACACAGCTCACATACCAACTCGATGTTCTTAATCCACCCCATGATTGGTAAATTGGTGGCAACATTACTAAATTCAGGGATCAGTTTGATATCAAATGCTTTTTCTGCAAACTCATAGAAAAATTCAGAACAGCCAAAATAGCTTGTAGCAAAAAAAAAAAAAAAAAAGCTTTAAACATTTTTGTTCCTTTCCTTGCAAACAATGCCCACAATCAGTTTCCGCTCAAACATTCTACTCTCCGCAACATGTGTAACCTGTCCAACACAGCAGTAAACTGTTTGCTGTCACCTCATTCTCCTCATTTTTTATGTATCATTGACAGACAAAATTTGCATATGCATAAAGGTAATCTTGTGAGAGTGTATCTTACTCTGGGATTTAGCTGTTTTAAATATGTAACCCATGAAGCCACCATTTCTTTCTTTGGACAGTTTACATGTTTAAATCTTTGTTCATGCAGGAGGAAAATTATTTTATTCTAGTGTTGCAAAAAATACATGCAACCCTGGGCCTCTTTGCCTTCTGCGGTAGTTCACTACAGTGAGTTATGTAGAAGTGCTTTTGAATATTGTCCCAAATGTTTTCAGCTCTTATATATATTCTTTGGCCTGGTTTCATCTGGTCAGAAAAGTTAATTTTTTTTTATTCCTTCAACTACAATATCAGCATCCAATAAATTCACAAGACCAAATATTACAGTTTCATGTTAGTTGTGTTAATATAAACCTAAATGAAGTTTTAATTTGATTTTTATCAGTTAATCTGAATATTAATTAACTTCTAAAAACTGAATGCAATGTACACCTGAGGAGTATTGAGAAATATAGCAGCATTAATGTGTTGAAAGCAAATACTTTAAAAATATATGGAATAATGACAAGACTTGATCTTAGAATTGTAGAAAACTATATGAAAGTGACAGTTAAGTGTAGAGTCTGTCATCACTCTTACATTTTCTACACAAACCAGATGTTGACTGTTTGACAAACCAATGCAGACTGCGTAAATACATTTTCTATGTATCAGCTCCATGTACACATCCACTTTAACTAAAACAAAACGAACAATGTATTATGACCAGTTAGAGCCACTCTCTCTCAAAAACCAAAATTTTAATTTCAAGCTGATTGAAAGCTATATATACTCAAATACAAAACAGACCAGCATTGGATATCAACACCGACACACTGAGAGAGAAATGTCACCAAGACCACGGCCACCACCAATGTCCGACCTTGTGCCACATGCAACCCTCGTGTGTGTGTGTGGGGGGGGGTAGCTAAATATATTAGCTGGGATCTGTTCCAGCTAGACGGTCGAACTCTCTGCCTTTGGGAACACGGACAAAGCTCTGCTGTTTATGCGGATTCTACTGGGATTTCTTGGCTGAGCCTACGGGCTCGGATAATCCACGTTAAACTTGGCCTTGTGCCGCACCTACCCTCGGTGGGGGGGGGCTAGGAAATACTGACTAGCTGGGATCTGTTGAGTACGACTCAGACTTACGTGAGAACTACCGACTCTCCAATAGTAGCACTCACTACAGGGTTGGCTTGCGACGACCTTGTGCATAACTGTTACCTTTATTCTTATTGTACTGGTTTTCTATAATAAACCTTTACTTATTTTATCCACCTTATTTTTCAAGTATATATTCTTATTAGCACAGAATATGACACCATTTAAATTTGGCCAGTTATTATGAGATGACCTCAAACCAAGATGAAAGTCTTTTTCAAATATAGCATGTTTTCAGTTATACTGTTGACAAGAGGAACCATTTTCTTTTAACACATTTCACTTATAATAATTATCTAAAGAAAATTATGGCATCTATCAACTGGGTTGGCTGACCAAGAAATGATTGACTTTATTCTTTTTAAAGCAATCATAAAGGATTACCATCACCAAGCACTTCCTTAGAAATTCACCATCTAGCAGATGACAACTGGGTGTGATATTAATTACCTCAATTATTAATTACTTGATCTTGCATTACACTTTCATTGCTTTGATGAATTCATTCAGATATACTTGTAGTCTTTGAGAATAGATATTTATCATCATCAAAATTGGACCGGTCATAATATTTTCTCCAGCTGTAATCATCAACAGCTTGATAGAGACCACACAATCTGACTAAGAGATCATATTACCCCCTAGACATACAGTTCAGATACAAAATTCCAGACTAGAAAAATAAAAATATAGATCTTGCAGCTGTGACTCATGGCAGAGCTCTATTGAGGAGATATGATTGATCAGAATGCATCAAACAGTATTCACTGCATCTCCATTACCCAGACAAAGAGGCTGAATTTGAGCCTTTGGCTTCAGTGGGAAAGAAATCTTGTCTCCCGGCAGGTAAAAGAAGAGCATTTTGCTTCCTTTTATCTTGATCATTTGTTTTATCTAATCCTGCAAGGATATCAACCAATTTACAGATCCAACATCAAAGAAATAAATTTACTCTCTAATCTTTCTTAGAAGATTTAACAAAGTGCAGAATTGGATAACCATGTGTGCACAGAGGCCACAGTAGATGCAAATTTAGTGAAATTATGCATTGTGCAATATTACCAAACAACTTATCACTTGTAGTAAAATATTCAAGAATATTCATTAAATAAAATCCAATATATCTGTGTGTGTAACTATATATATATATATATATATATGTGTGTGTGTGTGTGTGAGTGCAATAATACACACACACACATACTTAAATAATATTTAAATACAATAAAAAAATAATATTTTTTCTTTAATAATATATATATGCATATATATAATATTTAAATATAATAAAAAATATTTTTTCTTTAATATATATATATATATATATATACTATAATATCTAAATGTCATAAAAATAAAAATTTTTCTTTAATAATATATATATTTATATATACACTATAATATCTAAGTATCATAAAAATTATTTTCTTTAATAATATATATATATATATATATATATATATATATAAATAAATAATATTTATAGATAGATAGATGATGGCTGCCAACTCATTATTGAGCAAGACTCTTCTTTTACTTACTTCCTTTTTTGTGCCTAGAAATGTTGCCAGGAAAACAATGAATGACTGTTCAGCTGGCAAGGACCTCGTATGTCTACAAAGATGAGATTTTAAGCACTGAAAGAAATTTACATATACATTGAGAGATGGAACAGGTATAATTACCTGCTAAATTGTTGCGATGGGTAACAATTGCTGGCTGGGTGCCAGCAGCCTGATGGATTTTCATGTGACGTTTTGACATATTCCAGGCAGAGATAATTATTTTCAACAGGTTAGTAAATTCTAGGTTGATTGTCATGTGATTGCATGTGGGAAATTAACTTAGCATTTGAAAGACAATTGCGATTACGAAGATTACATGGAAAAACAGGCTTGTCATTTGTTGCATCTATCAAGGCCAGATATTTCCCTTTTCTTGTTGCTCATTTTATTTGTACATGTTGTATGCTGCTATTTCATATTCAGTTACTGTCTTACTGATTTTATCCCTCCACAGAATTCTCTCCTTAGTCTTAACTTCATTATAACATTTTTTGGTTCCTATATATTTCTTTGGTCATATATATATATATATAATGGCTGGCCACTTGTATCTGAGATTTCTTGTCTATTAGGGTGGCTAGCCAATCCCTGTTGCAGATGCCTCTCGGGCACATTTGTGTTTGTTCAACACCCAAAAAGCATACCTGTGGTTTATATTGAAATTATGCTCAGCAGACCTTAGTTACAGTTTCTTGTTTGGTTTAGTATGCTTTGTTTTATGGCATATCAACCTAAATGAATTATTTAATGCTGACAAGATTTTTACAATAGATTTGTATGAATAGAATATATATTCTTTATAAGGAAACACTTTGTAGATCCGGTTTCATCGATATACTTTTGTAAAGACGATTGTTGTTGAGAGTCTGCTTTCATTGATGTATTCTTTTCAGATTCACAATTTGTAGAAAAATTGATTTTGACATTCTCATTTGGTTTATAATTTTTGGTAGAGTTTGACTTTTGAGAAATGATATTATATCATCCATTTTTACTTTCTTGAACAGCTCATACATATTTTTATATAATGTTATTTTTGTCTTGAGAGAGCAAGATCTGAGCACTCAGTTAATATTTGTTTAATAGTATATGCTGTTTAACATGCTTGGTATACTGGTTTGTCTTCTTTGTTTAATAAACATGAATGGGTTATTCTCATATGGCCAATGTGTACGCAGGTCAATATCACTTCTTCCTTATGAGAGTTTCTGGGAGCTGACTTCCATTCTCTTAGTTTGGGCTAAATTACAAAGAATTTATTGTGAGGGTTATCATCCCAGTACCGTTGCCATTCCTTTTGAATGCATTTCTTAATAACCTCCTTAAAATCTGTGTATGGGATTCTGGCCCTTGTATCCACATTCATATCTAAAGCTGACTTTGACTTGACTGCTACGTCTGCTTCATTATTATTACCTTTAACTCCAATGTGGCTAGGAATCCTGCAGTTTTTGATGTCTTTATGCTTGTTAATAGTGCCCATTTTGCAAAATATTTTCCTAGGTGAGTTGTTGGCATTTGGTTTTCATTTTGGAAAATGTAAACTTATTTCTGTGGCCCATTTTCGCATTTTATTGAGACATTGCTGGAATTATCTTTTAATGCTATTCATATATCAAGATCTTTGCATAACTAGAAAATCATCAACATATCAAAAGCTTCTCACTCCTTGGTTTAGCGTTTTAACTATGGAGGTAATTTTTACACAAAATAGTGTCACTGGAAGAATGGTTTCTTGTGGAACCCCATTTTTTTATCTTGCAATTTCAATAACATATTTCCCATATGAACTTGAAACCTGTTTTTCAGGAAATTCTGTATGAATTGAATCAGACTTCCTTTTAGACTCAGTTCATGGAGATCTTTCAAGATACCAAATTTCCATGTTGTAATGTATACCTTTTCTAAGTCAAAAAAGACTGCCGTGAGATGTTTTTTCTTAATGAAGGCTTCCCTTACAAAGGTTTCGAGATGTATTAATTGATCCATGGTACTTCTTTTTTTTTCTAAAACACATTGGTAGTCATTGATTAGGCCATTGGTTTCCAGGTAGCAAGTCAACCAGTTGTTGACCATTCTCTCCATAGTTTTATACCAGCAGCTCATTAGTGTTAACAGTGTGTAGCTTTCAGAGTCTGTATCATCTGCTACAGGTTTTGGAGAGGATGACATGTGATGAATGAATCCTACTTCTCCATATGGTGTTATACAAATTTTCTAACAGTTGTATTGATTTGTTTGGCAACTGTTTTATGAATTGATAGTGGATATCATCTGGTCCCACAACTGTAGTGTGGAATTTCTTTAACGATTCATGTAGTTCCTCTACAGCAAATGGTAGCTTATAGCTCTCAGTGTTATTTGATTTAAAGTTTAATTTTTGTTTTTCCGCTTTTTGTTTGAGATTTAGAAATTGTTGGCTACCTTTCTTGGCAGATGAGGTTTTAGAGATTGTTTTTGCTAACTGATCAGTGATATCCTTTTTACTGGTTATTTACAGTTATTTATCAAGAGATGTTTTATAGAGTTAGTATGATGTTTACCAACTATTTTCCTTATCATATCCCATACAGATTTTGTTTTATGGTAGAATTAAATCAGCTGACATAGTTTTTCCAACATTCTTTATTGCTTTCTTTGATTGTCTTCCATGCTTTTACTTGAAGTTGCTTAAATTATAACAAATTAGATGTTGAAGGCTGTTTGTTGAAATATCTCAAATCTCTTCTTTTGAGCTTGATAGGTTCCTTACACTCATCACTGAACCAAGCTCTGTTACATTTTTTTGTACTGAACTTTTTGAATACATTCCTTTGTAATAGTTATAAGGATTTCCATAAACTATTTTAAGTCCTTGATGCATTTACCTTCGGCTAGTTTATCAGAACATTAGTTTTTTAAATTTGCCCCACTTTGTTCTGCCTAATTTCCAATGGAAAGGATTTTTATCATTATGTTTTGAATTTTGCAGAACATTTGGCAGCTGATCACTACCACATATTGTCTGCTAAAACCTTTCAAGAGGAATCCCTATAGATTTATAGATTGCATATGGATAAATTTATTGCAGAATAGCTGCTGGTAAATGGATTTATGTAGGTCGGAGTTTTATCATTATAAATACATAAATCAATGTTGTTTATAATTATTTCTAAAGTTCTTCCCTTTTGGCTTGTCACAGCCCATATGGTGCTGTGACAGTTAAAGTCCCCTAGTATGATAAAGGGTGCAGGGAGATGCCTTATAATTTCATGAATTTCAACTTCATTTACTCATTTATTAAGTGGGATATATTCTAAACATATGTTTATTGGCCTATGTAGGATCATTTTAATAGCTGTCACCTATAAAGTAGTTGTCAAATTTATTTTACTTTGGGGTACATCATTCTTAATAACTAGAAGTACCGCCAGATGCATGAAGCCCAGCACCATGTGTATTGTTGTATTGCTTGTATTCTTTTATATTACTTTTTGTCACCTTGCTTAAGAAATGTTTCCTGAAAGCAAACAACTGCTGGTGACAGAAGCAGTTCATTTATATTTGCCTTTATTCCACAACAGTTCTATTGAATTATCTTATGTATGGCTGTTTAAATATTTTTGGTCTTTAGCTTATGTAGTTTTGATTTCTTTTTCCTAGGTTTTCATTTTAGAAGTTTTAGCCACTTGAGGGTTCTGGTTTTCCACGTCCATCTTTTCTAGATCATCAAATTGCCATGCAACTGAAAATGAGATGTTTTTTTTACATTTTACTTTGACAATTTCACTTTCCTTTTTCCAGACATCACATGTTCTTGAGTATGCGGTATGCCATATATATATATATATATATATATATATATGTGTGTGTGTACACATAAATACACACACACACACACATATATATATATATATATATCCAAATGTAATGAGAATTAAAATAATATATAAATTCTAATGTTCACGTCTTTAATTCAAAAGAGGGCTCAATAACGATAGCAGAGAAATAAGTATTTATTATAATTTTTTCATATAGACAAAAACAATTTCCTCACTACTAAGACACAACTTCGTTTTGGTGCATTTAGTTGCACCTCGACTGGTGAGAACCAAAACGGTTATGAACAATTTTGTTTGTAAGCAGGCTGCATGTGGAACATCATTTCCTTTTTTCAATTTGTTTGAAAAAAAAGGTACATTTTAAGAGGGGACGTATAAGGATAAAGAAAAGATAGGAAAGGCAAAAGGGTGGCAGAGTGAAACAATAATGCTTGTTGATAGCAGTTTCATGAAGGATTGTTAAGGTGTTAAAGTG